AATTTTAATTTGGACACACACGCATGTGATATAAAAGAGTGAGTCGCACCAGAGTCATACAAAACAATTAGAGGAGTTCCATTGATGAAACACATACCCTGGATTAAGTCTTTGGATTGTGAAGCTTCAGCACCACTCAAGGCAAACACCCTTCCTGTCGCTCGAGGTTTGCTAACACTCCCTCCAACCTCTGTTGTCTTGTTCTTGGGGCAATCACGAGCTCTGTGTCCCTTCTCTTGACATTTGAAGCACGTTATTTCTCTAGGCAACGGACACTCATATGCCCTATGACCTAGCTTCCCACAATTGTAGCAGTTGTTGTGTGAAACAGAACCCACACTTCCTCCTCTAGAAGTTTGGCTAACCGTGGGAACTTGGCTTCTTTGTTGCATAGAACCTTGATTATTCACCTTAGAACTTGAGTCCCCATCAGACTTGGTATAAGGTTTACTCTTATTAGGTGAACCAAACTTATTATTCCTCACGGGTCCTCCACTCTTATAATGAGTTACCCTAGCACGGTTGTCCTCATCATATACTCGGCACTTGTTTACCAATTCATGATAGTGAGTGATCCCTTGATAATTGAAAACTTATTTAATATCAGGGCGAAGACCACTCACAAACTTCACACATTTGTCCTCCTCATTGCCCACACCATCATACATAGGGCAGAATCTAACCAAGTCTTCAAACTTAGTCACATAATTAGCCACAGAATCTTCTCCTTGCTTCAATTCAAGGAATTCCACATGTTTCTTATGTCTTACATCTCGGGGAAAGTATTTCTCCAAGAATAGCTGCTTGAAATTCTCCCAGTTCACTTGGGTACCTCCAGCTATCATTCTTTGCAGAGCACCTTGCCACCAGATGCCAGCCTCTCCAGAAAGCATGAAGGCAGCCAAAGTCATCTTCTGTATCAAAGGACATCCCATAGCTTGGAATATCTTTTCCACTTCAAAAATCCAATCAGCAGCTCCATCAGGATTATAACCCCCACGGAAGCTTGGTGGATTATTTCGCTGGAATCTCTCCAACCAATCTATCTCTGGTTGTTGGTTCAAATTACCAAGAGCCTGAGCCATCGCTTATAAAGCATAAGCAATTGCATGATCGTTCCTACCTCCTACCATTACTTTTCTGATCTCCAGAAAAGTTAACAATTATACTATAAGTAAACAACAAACTTAATCAATCACAACACTAACATATCAACAAATTCCATAATCAATCATTCCATCAATTATCTACCAAACAAACATAGTAGACTCATAACTCAAGACCGATTGGATCGACCTGCTCTGATACCACTAAATGTGACATCCTTACTACCCCAACATATATATTGTAATAATAAAAACTAATAAATAAATTTTTCAATTTCGGTAAAAGGGTTCACATGAGAATCTTCAAAATTATTCTTCAATAACCACAATAATAAAAATGAAGCGCAAGAGTTTTAAAAATAATAATTACAATTCCAAAACCATATAAAAATCTATGTCCTAAAAATCCTCTGCCCCGATGTCACAATATCAGAGCATACCCACACTTCCACTGTTGGCATTCTAGATGCCACTCGAAACCAGATCTTTCTCACCTAAAATATCCACAAATCGTACGGTGAGAAAAGAAAACATCTATATATATAGCACATAAGAAAACACAACATATTAACTTAATATTCATAAATATTTCAACATAAAGTAATTCAATCAACCATGCATAGTCATCACGTCATCATTCTCAATCACACTAATTTGCACTTCACACTATGCCAAGGTCACACTACCCATTTAACAATCTCAGGCCGTGCTCACCCCTGATATAACACTGTGCCAAGGTCACGTTATCCCTATCCCAGGGTCGTGCTCACCCTTGACATGTTAACCAAGGTCACGATACCCACCTAACAATCCAGAGCTGTGCTCACCCTTGATATAACACTGTGCCAAGGTCACGTTACCCCTAACCTAGGGTCGTGCTCACCCCTGACATGTTAACCAAGGTCACGATACTCATGTAACAATCTCGGGCCGTGCTCACCCCTGGTCATACGTGTGAAGAACCACAACCACATCTCAATCACATTCCACACAACATCTCATAGTTCAATTCTATACACATATCAAATAAGTCCAAAATAATGGGTTTCATACATATCAAGCAATTCACATTTAAATCATCAATTTTTATCAAATAATATAACAATGATATTCATAAATTAATATAATAATCAATAGAATTAGCAATTTAATATAATTTCAGCATAAACAATAAAACCCTCAATTGTTCCAAAACCTAGCTCACAAGCACTTTTCTACAATTTCGTTCTCTCTCCCAGATCATCATTCTTACAATTTAAATATATATTTCTAATCCTCAACACATATAGAATCTAATGGTATAATTAATTCCTCAAACAGAAATAATCCAATTTTTCCAAAACCTAACCTACAAGCACTTTTCTATAATTTTGTTCTCTCTCCTAGACCATCATTTTTACAAACAAATCATAGATTTATTGTCCTAGATATATACATAATCAAATAATGCCAATAATTCTTCAAACAGAAATAATTCTGGCAAACAGCTCTATATATAGGCATTCTGCGCCGAAACGGCTCGTTCCAAATCTGGAACGGCCTGTTCCGTACCCTTAAACCATGGCTAAAAATCACATCCAGAAAGGCTCGTTCCAAAACTAGAACGGCCCGTTTTGGTGTGCATTAATTACCCCCAATGGCCATAATTTTGGGAACGCCCCGTTCCAAGCCAGTTCTCATTTAGGGTTAATGGCATATTTAATAGTCCGGAACGGCCCGTTCCATCTTGATAACGGCCCGTTCTGGGCTATTAACTCACATACAATTTGGTAGTTTGGAACGGCCCGTTCTAATTCCGGAACAGCCCGTTCTAAGCTACTAAATCATATACCTTTTGGTAGTTTGGAACGGGCCTTTCCAATTCGGGAACAGTCCATTCCAAGCTACTAAATCACCCCTATCACCTTTATAAAATTACCAAAATACCCTCAATTAAAATAAAAAAAATGAAATAAAAATTGGGGTGTTACATAATATACGTCATGGTAGCATACAATTCGAGACTTGTTAGGTCATGCAGTTCTGTGAACAATGAAAACATACATTCCACATCTTCATCATCCCTAAGACAACACGTATATTTATATACACCACCGATACATGAATTTGGGTATCGGTAGTGGATATCTATGACAACTTTGTAATGAGGAAGATTAAGGTTACTATTAATAACATGCTTAAGTTGCTGATAAGTCATCATGTTACTTACCAGTAGAGTTGTAACCTTGTTGCTAACAAATGTATCTCTATGCTCAATGGAGACAATTGTCAATCATAATAAACAGTGGATGGATTAGTTAATAACTCCATTGATTGGATGTTTCAATCTCTTGCATTTTAGCCAGTGTTTAGGTTTTATATAGAACTAAAGCAACCTAATGTGGACAAACGCAAAGTCATTGGATTCCTGACGCTCTACACAAAGCATTGATTTTTTTGACCCTCTGGGATAAAGCAATTGATGACACTGGACAAAGCATTGGATTCTTGACGCTTTGGGACAAAGCAATTGATGACACTACACAAAGCATTGATTTTTTTGAAGCTCAAGGACCAAGGCAATGATACTCTGCACAAAGTCATTAATTTTGTTGATGGTCTGGGTGATGGAAGAGCATGGACCAAGGGTCCAACCACTAGAGCTATGGCCAGGAGATTACTTGAAGACTTGACTGCTTCAGAGCTTAGTGGACCCAATGGACTTGGTGGGCCTAGGGTGCTCCTCACTTGGGCTTTACTTGTTTGACACCATGTTTTATTTCATATTCATAGAATAGGGATTTACTTTGTTTTGGTCTTGTATTTTCACCATAGATTAGGGTTTGTGAACTTTGGGCTTGTAATTGGGCTTCATGGGCTTTTGAGCTTTTGATACCCAATATTGGGCTCATTTTCTTCCTTGTAATTTTTCCTATTCATTATATTTCATTGACCATTGTATTCAGGTCATTAGTTTAGGATTTAAGGAGGGATTCTTAATTAAAAGAATTAGGCAAAAATAGGTTTAATTTAACTTGCATTTAAGTTGCATTTTGAGTCACATGGTTGGCGCCACCTTGCCTGAACATTTGTGACTCAAATTCAACCCTAAATGCAACTTAAATCAAACTTAGATGTAGACTTAGCACATGGAGACCGGTGAAGCACATGTGGGTTAAGATTTGAATTCAAAATTCAAATTTGAATTCAAATCTTGGCGCCACATGTGAATCCTCCACATTGGCGCCAAGTAACCCTAATTTCGGAACTATAAATGCCTCCTTTACAACATCTTGTAATGGCTTTTGAATATATGAAATTTGTGAAGCATTCTTCAACCAAATTTCCTCAAAAGTCACCGAGAGTTATTGCCTTCAAACCCTAGGAAAATTACCTTAGTTCCTACCTTTTGAAGTGAGCAATCCTTTGAGCCTTCAAGCTAGGATACTTCCATCTCTACCCTAGGCTTTCCTTCTTCGTGTTCTTCATTCAAGCATGCTCAATCCATTCGGTTCAAGTCTCCAAGAAGAGGATCCTACACTTGGTGAAGTCAAGGAGTGGTTCTACTTTCACTTATCCTACCTTTGCCATCATTGGGACCAAGGCAATGACACTCTACACAAAGCATTGATTTTTCTAATGCTTTGGGACAAAGAAATTGATGAAACTGCACAAATCATTGGATTCCTGACACTCTAGAACAAAGCAATTGATGAAACTGCACAAAGCATTGATTTTTTTGACGCTCAAGGACTAAGGCAATGACACTCTACACAAAGTCATTAATTTTTCTGACGCTCTGGGACCAAGGTAATGAAACTCTGCACAAAGCATTGATTTTTCTGACGCTCTGGGACAAAGTAATTGATGACACTGCACAAAGTCATTGGATTCTTGACGCTCTGGCACAAAGCAATTGATGACACTCAGCACAAAGTCATTGGATTCCTTACGCAATGAGACAAACTAATTCAAATTTTTTGCACTATATATACACTACATACGTTCCAACCCTAAACACACAACAAAAGATCAATTCTCTTTAGCTATTGCACTCTTCAATTTCGTTGCTATTGTTTTTCAAGAATGTCTTCTTCATCTTCAACTATGTTGTGGAAAAAACACCTCCATAGGTCAAATGAAACTCATCTTATGGTAAGTTAATATATATTGCATAATGTTTACAACTAATATTATTCATTACTAACATTTCAATTCAATCATTTTCGTAGACAACAAGTGATCAAGTGATTCAATCTTACTATCATTCCATGCCTACACCTGACCCAAGAATTGAGCATTTGTTGGAGGTTTCTAGCTTTGGCGAGGTTGCAAAAATAAGACATTTTAAAATTGATGATTGCTTGATAACGTCTTTGGTGGAGAGGTGGAGACCTAAGACACATACTTTTCACCTCCCAGTTGGTGAGTGCACTTGGAAGATGTGGCACTATAATTGGGTTTAAGGATCGACGGCAAACCAGTCACATGACCAACTTTCTTTGACTAGGATGAATTGTTTTACAAGTTGTTAGGCTTCGTACCTCTAAAAGGGCAAGCTCTAGTTGGCTCAAGCATAAAACTAAAATGGTTAAGAGACCATACAATTGCACTACCAGATGAACCCACTAAATAACAATTGCACCAACATTGTAGGGCATATATCTTAGGATTGATCGGTGGTGTCATTATGCCAGACAAGTCAAGTAATAGACTTCACTTAATGTATTTACCACTGTTGGCTGACTTGGAACGTGTAGGATGATATAGTTGGGGTTCTGCTTGTTTGACACAATTGTACAGAGAAATGTCTAAGGCAATCTATCCATCGTCAAAGAAAATGGGTGGATGTTCTTTGCTTTTACAGTCTTGGGCTTGATATCGACATGCCCTTCATCCAACCAAGAGTCCAACGGGATATTACATTTCTGCTAGCATTGAGGTGTGAATTAATTTTTATACCACTTTAATACATTGAATAGCTAAAATTTTTTACTTAA